CCAGGTGCAGCTCTGGGATAAATATTTAATGAAATTTCTCCAGGCAATCCTAATGTGTAGGAGAGCTAAGAACTGCAAAACTATACCAATCTCATATTTCAAAGGAGAAAATTATGGCCCACAAATGTATATGGATTTACCCAAGATTCCCGAGTTATCTCATATCAGACTTCAAATACTAGTACCTCTCCTCCTTATTAAAAATAAAGTGCTGTAGTTTGGAGAAATGTCCTCCAAAGGCCTGTTTGCTAAAGCCAGTGGTGTGTTGGGAGGTGGAGGGGTCTTGGGAGTGGGGCCTGGTAGAAGGAGGTTAGAGCATTGCGGGAGTTCCTTTCAAAGGAATACGAGGCCCTGGCTGCTCCTACTCCTGTCCTTGTGCTTTCTGGGTGGCATGAGGTGAATAGGTCTCCTCTACCATGTGCTGCTCCCATCCTGATGGGTATATCACAGGCCCAAGGCTACACGGCTCAGGTGCAATGAACTAAAACCTCTGAAACGGTGAGCCAAGACAAACATTTTCCTCCTTGTAGGTTTATTACCCTGGGTACTCTTTCATAGGAATGGAAAGCTAAGATAGAGGCTTGAGGGGATGGAGGGTAGGGAGTGTAGCAAATATATATAGCAAATGCCTTCTGCAGGAAGCTGTCATCTGAGAAAAGACAGGAAGCTGGGCACAGGGATACTTGAGTGCTGTACTCCAGGCAGAAGCAGTGAGGGGTGTATGCATTTATTTGTAATGGAAAAACAACAAGGAGTAAGGTTCCCAACAGATATTAATCTTTAGGATATAGAAACAGGAAATCAGAACTGATTTACATTCTTAAAATCTTGTTCTCATTTCTCTTCCTCTTCTTCCTCCCCTCCTCTTCTTCATTCTCCCCTTCTCCTCTGCCTGTTGCTCTTCTTTTTCCTCTTCCCCTTCCCCTCCTCCTTCTTCTTCTGTACTATGGATTAAACCCAGGGCTTTGTGATTACTAAGTGTGGGGAGCCACTTCAGGATTGCTTCTAAGCTCAGGGTGTCTGAGGACACCTGAGGATGCTACAGTACTATGTGGGGCAGGTGCACAGGGGAATACACTTCTGTAACCATGACTTGACACAGGCAACTATGTACGTGCTACATGAGTAAGTCAGTATACAAGAATGTAAATATGTGATAACAACCTATGTAAGGGCTAAACAACAGAGACACATGTCTGTCCATCTGTGTGCTTTCTCTTGGGGACCTCACCCACAAAAATACTCCCTTAGCCTTTTGACCCCAACACTAAGCATGGTCTCTACCACTGAGCTACACTCCTAGCCCCTTGTTACTGTTTTTCAGGTGTGGAACCCAGGGTCTCATATATGCTAGAGAAGTGCTCCACCACTGAGTGCCTCTTTTTAATTTAATCTAATTTTAAGACAAGATCTCACTAAGCTGTCCAAGTTGGCCTCACACTTGGTCCTCCTGCCTCAGCCTCCCAAGTAGTTGAGATTTCAGCTGTTGCCATCACATTCCGCAGTCCTTTATTCTTCAAATTCTGCCAACCTCCTTTACATTCTTTACTTGTTATTATGACTATCTGAAGCATTTGTTTAAAAGATAAGAACTATTAATTTAGAAGTGTTCATTAAAAGAATTCTTTTCTGAAATAGAGTCTTGCTATATAGTTGAAGTTGGCCTTGAACTCAAGGCGATCCTCCTGTCTCAGTCTCAAGTGCTGGGATTAGAGGCATACACCACCATGCTCAGCTAGAAGTGTTATAAGGATACAAATGTAGCAAATATCCAAATAATGGAAAACACAGAGAACAATATTGGGTAGTATTTAAGTAATACAACTGTTACCCAACAGAAGGTGGATACAGTTATCAAAGTAAAGAACATTTTTGGGAAAAAAGGAACTGTAGTTTGAATACACTCAACCAGGCCAGCCTAGAATAGTGCCACAGCAAGGACAGGAGAGGTCTTTTTTTTGTTTTTGTTTTTAAATAGGGGATTTCCACAAAGAACAGTTTTGGGAAGCTTTTTATTGGCTGGGAAAAATTCCTAAACTGAAGCTAGGGTACTCCCAGGTAAGAGTTCTGAAGGCCTGCCATACTGCCCTCAGCTGTGTATTTAACTCTGTTGGAACATTCTGTGCTTTGACCTTTAGCAGATGTGAGTACAATCCTCCAGCAATCTCCTGGTTCTCCTATAGGAAGCCTTATTTTGTTTTCTTTTTCTTTCCTTTTTTTTTTTTTCCTTAATGGTGCTGAGTATTGAGCCCATGTTAGGCAAGTAAGTACTCTACCACTGAGCTACCCTCCTACCTCCCTAGCCCACTTTTATATACAAATCTACTAGAGAAATTAATAGCAAAATTTAGCATCTTAAATTGGAAACTACCAATTGAAGGACTTCTACTGAATCCCAAATTCATTTCTTGAAACACTGTTCACTGAATATGTATTAAACATATGAGTATCAATTTATTAGTATTTATTTTATTTGGAAGGAAGATTCATTGAAGCAGACAGGGTCAGGAACAGACACTTATAACATGGCCCCAGATACACACACTGATCAACTAGTTAGATCCTCCACCATGCCTCTCCCAGAGCTCCTGGAAATGTTGGCCTCAACCTCTGATTCAGAGTCTTAGCATTTCTGCTCTTGCTTTCTATTTGACCTCAGTGGATTTCTTCAGTATCATCTCTGTGTTGGCTGTTAAGGTTTAATTCTCCCATGAGAATTAAAATACTTCCATTTTCTTGATTTCTCAATTTTTTTAAAAAGTAGAATTTAGAAAAACAACATTTTCTGAAAAATTGAGAAGAAATTTCTGTACACTAACAACGATGAGGAGATTGGAGCAGTTTCCACTGAGAGGGTGGTAGGACTGGAAAGAGATAACAAAGACTTGATCGTTTAGGACGTACAGACATTGTAAGGACCCTAAATAAAATGGGAGCTACATGGAGCTCTGAACACAGGAGTAATATGGCTTGCTTAGCTGTTGAGAGCATAATTCAGGCTTCTGTATTAAAAGTAGAGTAAGGGCAGTATAGAGGATTTATAAGGTAGCCTACCATGGCCCGCAGAGTCAGGTGTGAAAGAATACAGAAGGGCTGTCTGCTGCTGGAGAGTCAAACAATCCAGTAGAGGTGGAAAACCTGGAGTTCACTGGAGAGTCCTGCTGGAGTCTGTTTTGGGAAGCTGAAAGATCGGCACTGGAAGTCTGAAGAATCTGGGCTAAAAAGGTGAATTCTGCACAGCGAAGCTGGAGACACATCCAAAGGTGATCATGAAGACTGGAGCTCCTCCAAAGACACAGAAGTGACTTTCGTCTCCTTTTCCTTTTTAGTCCATGAAGGCTACAAGCTTAGTGGTTGGTGCTATTCACCCCCCGGGTGGGGTCTTATGTTTTCAGTAAGTTCACCATTCAGTCACACTCAGAACTATGCTAAGCCAATCGGCTGGGTGTTTCTTACTCAAATTGACATGACAGCTATCACAGTCAGGGAAGGGCCTTTGTACAAAAAAACTACAGGTAAATTATTGTAAAAATCTAGGTGAAAGATAACGGCAGTGAGGACCTGAATGGAAGCATGGAAACTGTGAGAAGTGTTTGGATTCTGGATATCTTCTGAATATAGAGCTGGTAGGATATTTGTCAACTATAGAGTGTGAGAGGAAGAAGAATTGAGGATGAATTCACGATTTTTGGTCTGAGCCTGGCAGAATGGAGTTACTATTTACTCAGGTGGATAGGGGTTGGAATGCAGAGGGGCACTGTGGAAAATGACTTTTGACTATTCATGTGTTAAGTCTGAGGTTCTTCCTACACATCTATTATGGCTTGTGCCATAGATGTCCCCCAAAGCCTCATGCAGTCACGGGGGGCAGTCTTTTTAGAGGTGGCTGAATCTAGAGTTTGTGATTGATTCATGGTCCAGTGCTGGGATTAAGGGTGTGAAGACTACACTTACCTAGGGCGGGTATCCTGCATACAATATAAGCGACAGAAAGAGGCTTGTGCCCTTCCCCCTTGTTGCTTTGCTATTTTCTGCCCCACCATGACTGTTCTCCTCTGCCAAGCCACCCTACCTTGGAGACAACCAATTATGAGTTGAAACCTCTACAGACTGTGAGCTAAATAAACCTCCGCTCTTTCAACTTTAGGTGTCATACTTGTCTCAGCAACAACAAAAGTAACTAACACAACATCCAAGTGGAAATGTCAAGTAGGCATAAAGGAGTCTGGGGTTCAGGGCAGAAGTCTGGATTAGACAGAAAAACAGGATCAGCAGCATACAAATGGCATTTACACCAACAAAGTTTTTACAGCTAGCACTGCTGTAGATTACAGCCGTATTCTCTGGGAGGAATTCCTGGACCTATGTCTATTTACTCTGCTGAGTAAGACCGAAGAAAAATACAAATCCTACCTACCTAAATAATGACAGACAGGTCGTGAACATGAGAATGCTTGTTAACGGTACAGTGCTGTTCAGACTCATGCAGCAGACATCTGATTGTACCAGGGATGAGGAAAACCAGCTGCGGGATCCAAGGGAAAGTCTTTATGGACTGACAATAGGGAAACTACGAAAAATAGAAGGTGCAAATAGCAGTTATTAGCCATTTCAGACTAGAGCCAATCTGTGCAAAACTAGTCTTGTGCTGTTGTTGTTTACACAGTGCCCAAGATTCACCAAGCGCCGCACACGCATGATCTCACCAGTCTTGCAAGGAGGAAATAATTATAAACCTCATTTTATGGTGGGCAGAACTGAGCTCAGTGAGGGGAGCTGGCATCAGAGTAATAGGACAAAGCCATACAGACATCCAGAGTCTTCGTTCAGAGGTCAACCTAAATCCAGATATTGCCTTTCCCCCACCAGTCCTCTACCACTAAGGCTGAAGAGACAGCAGGGCGCCCCAGCCCCTCACCCCCGCTCCTTTGCACCAGTCTTGCCTGCCGCCACCCCCAGATCCCATTTCTGGATGGTACAGCCCTGTCCTCACATCGCGAGACTGGGAGTGGCGCTTCTGGTTGCCAGGGGAACAGCGTTCCCGTCTCTTTGGATCGCTCTCTTCTCCCGCCTGTGAAGAAGCTGAGGCGATGGGAAAGGCCGCTCCCTTTCGGGGTGAAATGGGGGCGTTCAGAGTGCCAGCGGCGGACTTCTGTGTTTTCAGTGCTCTGGTGACTGGTTACTAGCTGCGAGTCCGGCCGAAAGGTGAGGGACCTTACGGAGACCGAGGACCGGCGGCCGAGTGGGCGGAGTCGTGTCTGGCTGCGTGCGGAGGGCGGGCTGCCGGGAGGCGGGCAGGACCAATAAGAGGGCGGAGCGGACTGAGGGGGCGGGTTTAGCCCCATAGGCGATTTCCAGTACCTGACTGCAAGAGTTCCCAAGGTTAGGGCTCCACCTTTCCGTGCCTTCTAGCCACTAAGGTCTATAAAAGATGGCCAGTATACCTCTGACTACAGACTCAACTTTTCTCGTACCTAAAAGAATGTCAACCAAACTCACAACAGAAACTTTTGGACGTCTGTCAGGTTGGCAAAGGCGAAAAGGCTTTGCCGAGAACCAGATTGGCGCCAAGCCAAAGAGGGGACACAGGCACTGTTATGTCAACGAACCCCGCGGGTAGAAATGTAATTTGGTATAATCCTTTTGGAGCACAGCTTGGCACACTGCCAAACTAGAAACACAGGTGTTCGTTGTTTTTTGTTTTTTGCTTTTGTTGTTGTTGTTGTTTTTTCCGGGGAAATCAAACTCAGGACTTTGCGCTTGCCAGGCAGGCCCTTATGCCACTGAGCTAGAGCCCCAGCCTTCACAGGTGTTCTTTGATAAAGCAATTCTGATTTATCTTATGGATGTAGAACTTAACTAAAGGTTGACACAAAGATACTAATTTAGAATTGAGGTATTATCTACATATGGCAAAATTCACCTTTTCAATGTACAGTTGTCTGAATTTTGACACAGGTAATTACCATCACAACCAAGACAAAACCGTTTCACCCCCCACTCCCTTCCCCTAGTACTTTTGTTAACACTGCTGCCATTCCAACCTGGCAGCCATTCATTAGATTTCTGTCCGTACAGTTTGCCTATTTTAGCATGTTATACTGGTGGAAATAAACACCATGTCACCTTTTGAATCTAGCTTCTTTCAGTTTAATCCAGTGCAATTGATACTCATCCAGTTCTGTGTATCAATTGCTTGTTACCTTTACTGCTGATGTATTGTGCTTTGTAGTTGTTTGCTTATCCATTCACTAGAGGAGTGGCATTTGAATTGTTTCCAGAGTTTTGGGCAATGCTGATTATAAGTATTCAGGTATAGATTTTTATGTGAATACGATATCAATGTAGGTACATGTGTAATTTGATAAGAAACTGCCAATAATTTTGCAAACTGGGTTTTCCATTTTGTATTCTCATTGGCAACATAGGAGTTCTGGTTGTTCCCCAACTTGAAAGCACTGGGTATTGTCAGTTTTAAAAAAATTAATTTTCACCAAATAGGTGTGTAGTGGTATCATTGCGGTTTTAATTAAAAACTTTCAGAGGACTACTGAGGCTGAGCATCTTTTCATGTGTTAATTTTTCATCTCTCCATCTTCCTGGGTAATATGTGTATCTACAACTTTGGTTTTCTTATTAGCGATTCTTGCTGCTTTTTTATATATTTTTGAATATAAGTTGTTTGTCAGAGATGTGTTTTGTAGCTATTTTCTCCTGTCTTTGGATTTTGTTTTTCTTTTACTGACAATGTCTTTTGAAGAATACAAGTTTTAAATTTTGATGCATTCCATTTGATCAATACTTTCTGAATCATGTTTTCCATGTTACATCTAAGAAGTCTTTGCTTAATCCACAGTCACATATTTTCTAGACATTTTGTAGTTTTAAGATTTACTTCAGGTCTGATACTCATATTTGGTAAATTAAAAAATTGCTTTTACTAGCAAATTCAACATGAGTTGGTTAGAAATGCTATGTCTATGTACTGGCATGTTATGCTTCTGTTTGAAAGAATGAAGCATGTCTGTAAATGTTTATATAGAAAAAAATCTTTAAAATATATTGCATGTGAAAAAGAAAGTTGCAAAACACCAGGCTATTTATGAGCATTTGTGCTGTGGAGGGGTAGGTTAGTATAGCTAAGATAACCATACTACTAATTTCCATTAGCTCATGGAAAGGAACAGTTAATGTTTATATTGATTGAGCAATCTTACATGCCTGTGTCTGGTAATCTGAGCAACTGCTTTGAAGATAACACTACACAATATAATAACCATTATTAATTTCCTATCATCTTGTTTTGAAATTCTGTATCATTTTTATTGTTTTTATATTACCTTTAAAATAAAAACATTGTACTAAAAGTGAAAAAAAATTAACATTGGTTCTTTTTTTTTTTTGGTTTTTCTCCGGTACTGGGAACCGAACTCACGACCTTGCGCTTGCCAGGCAGGCGCTTTTGCCGCTGAGCTAAATCCCCAGCCCCCAACATTGGTTCTTGAGGGGAATTTTGACTTTAAAAACTTTTACATTCTTCTGTATTGTTTGATTTTTGTTTCTCCTGGATAAATATTCCTTATATAATAAAAATATGTATAAAGTAAATATTTTTTAAATAATAATTTTGAAACACAGAGATAAATGAAATAAATAATTTTTAAACACAGAGATAATGAAAAGAAATTAATTCTCCACTTTTAGGCTTTCTGTTCTAATTACCAAGCAGAGGAAGACGCATTTTCTTTTTATTCTTTCATTCATCCAAAAGAATAAAGTTATAGTCACCATATATTTCCACTTGGGATTTAAATCATCTGTGGAGGTGCATTTCCTGCAGCCTCTTTGAAAAGATTTTAATTAATCTTGGTTGAAGTGAATGTCATGAAATATGAATGTCATGTGTTAGTAGTGATTTGCTGTCATGTATCTGTATAATTAAATATCATCAAGTAAATACTAGTCTGTTTCCAAAATATTTTAATATCATAAGGAAATGCTCATCATCTAATGGTAGGTGAAAAGGAAATGAGTCCAGTTTTGTTGAAAAAGGTACAGAGAAAATACTGAAATGTACCAACAATGAATAAATTAAGATAGTAGAATTTTTAATTTTTAAAATACTTTTCAGTAATCCTAGAACTCTTTCTATAATAAATTCTTTATTTATGAATTCAAGATATCCATCACAGAAAAACAAACAAATACAGGTTAGTAAAAGGCAAAAGAAGACACAAGAATATGCACTTTGTGTCCTTGATAAGAAACTGCCCACAGTTTCATTTGTTTTGGTTTTTTTGTCTTTTCTTCTGGTACCAGGAATCAAACTCATGACCTTGCGCTTGCCAGGCAGGCGCTTTGCTGCTGAGCTAAATCCCAAGCCGCCCTGCCCACAGTTTTGCAAACTAGCTTTTCCGTTTTGTATTCTCACTGGCAACACAGGAGTTCTGGTTGTTCCTACCACTCTTACTTTGCTGATGTGTGATCATTTTGCATGTCTCTTACTATATATTCACTGAATTAGAGAAATTGGACTCTAAGCAAGATTATTGCTGATTTGTATTCTTCTAGCCTGCCCTTCTCTCCCTTCCCCTCCCCTCTTCTGCTGTCTTCTCCCCTCCCTTGCCTTCGTCTTCTCTCTCTTTCCTTTTTTTCTTTTAAAAAAATTGTTAGCATATTTGAAGTACCTAACAGTTACATTCATCATGGAGAATTGGTACATGTACATAGCACATCTTTATTTCTTTTCTCTCTTTCTTTTCCTTTCCTTCCCTCCCTCTCCCTTCATCTCTCAGTCCCCTTCCCTTTTGCAAAAGTTCTGTCTCCTTGGTCCCTTTTATCTATCTTTTATTGCTGTTTATTTCCTTTATGATTCCTTCCTTCTATCTTCCCTCGTTCCCTCCTTGCAATATACATTTCTTGTTTATTCCCTTAGCCAGTCTTCTTTTACTTATTGATTGGTAAGCGCTCCTTAAATATATACATTTATTAATCTTTTGTATGTAATCTATGTTGAATGTATTTTCCCCAGTTTCTCAGGTGCTTTTTAATTTCATTTAGAAGTCTTTTTATGTTTGAGATTCATGAACATTAAAGTTATGTAATCAAATTATTACTCTCCCTTTGATTTATGTTCTTGGGGTCATGCTTAGCAAGTCATTTAATTCCATCATTAGACAAATTATCTTTGTTTTCCTTCCAGTTCTTTGGAGATTCAGTATTTTACATTTATTGATTTTAAAATTAGTTTTTATTTTATTTAAGTATTGTGGTAAAAAATATCAAATTGTACTATAACATTTACAATGGAGGGAAAATACGGTAATTCCTATCTTATTCCTCAGAGGCAAACATCTTGTACTCTTAACTAGTATGTTTATTTAACTATTATTTGATGTTATCAATTCTGAATGTTCTCCTTGATTCCCTGATTTGAAAGGTTAGGTTTTTTGTACTCCCTTTCCTTTTGCACACTCCTTCCCACATACACTCAATTAAGACACAATATTTGTGTAAGATAATTACTTATTGTTTGAGTTCTGACTTATACAGTGCTTTATCTTTCTTGTGGGATTTCTGTATGACAATTGAAATTTCTTCTCAAATACTCAGATGTTAATCTTTAAGATCCAGTTTCAATGCTTTCTATCCATACTTTTTCCACAAGTGAAATTAATTCAAAGATCATCTGTCAATTACACTCACCCTTCCCAGGAACTGTATTTAATTTAATTCACTGTTTTCAGGGGAGAACATAGTAGAGCAGACTCATTCTGAAAGCAGATTGAAAAGCTTCTGGAGCCTTTGAACTGACCCATGCCTTTGTGCCTCTGCCTTTCTTGATGTGTATTATGTCGGCTCTGCACTTGCCTCTGTCTCATTGCTCCCTCTGTATCCTGCAATACGTCTCCTTGACAGCATGCTTCATATGCTTAAAAGACATTTGGCCTTTTGGTGACTTGTGCTTCTCGGTTGTGATGTGACGGGCCAGGGTGATTCATCATCCCACAATAATAATGTCAGTGAGCCCAAACTCTTTGGCAGAATGTGAATAATGTTGAGATCAATGCCTTTTTCAGTTGCTGAGATGGAAAGAGTTGACCTACTTGTTGCTTAAGTGTCAGCTTTGGTACACTGAATGATTGGAGGCTGAATCATATTATCCCTTTGTGTTCCTAGGAGGAGCTCAGGTTGGTAATGTTTGTGTTTCGTCCTACGTCCAAAGCCTCTCTGGACTCTGCATTTGTGGCTCACAGACAGACAGAAAGAAAGATGACTGTTACACTTTCAAGGGTGCAGGCAGTTGTCCTTTGTTCTGAGAGAAATGATTTAATATATAATTGTAGGGATTAGAAAGGATTTGGTGGAAGATGTCCATTCACATGTAAAGCTGTGTATTTAGAGGCCCAGAGCTAGACTTTTCCTGTTTCTTCCATTTTACTCAGCATCCGCATTACTCCATCATCACTGGAAAAGTCTGGAAAGGTCCTGACCAAGAGCACAGTTAGGAAGGATCAGGGTTCTTGCAGTGCTCATGATCCCCCTACAGTCTAGGTCATCACTGTGCAGGATTTCTTGCTTTAGACGACAGCACCAGGAATAGGCTAGCCAGTGTGAATGGGATCATGTGAGAACCAGGGAAGGAGACTGGCAAAGGGCAGCCAGATAATGAGTCTGTAGGTTTTGGTCTCTTGTGTCTGGTGGCAGAAGTAGAACCATGGGTTTTAGAAAGGGAGGGCTGATCCAATGAGAGCTGTGCCCTAGAGATGGGTGTGCTTTAAAAGTGTTGTAGGAGGGAGGACAGAGAAGAGAGGAAGCAAAGTAAAAAGAATTAAGCTGTGTTATGTACATGTACGAATTCCCAGTGATGAATGTAATCATTATGTACTGCAAACATGTAATAATAAAAAATTTTTAAAAAGCAATTAAAAAAACAGAAAAAAATGGGGCATAAGGCGATGTTGGAAGAGAGTTGGGAGAGAATCTCAGACTAATGTCGAGCCAGAGCAGGAAAGGAAAGATGTGATTAAGATATACAATGAATGTTAAGTTTAGAAGTTTATTACAGTAAAGACACATTGCCATTAATATGCCTCAAAATACTTGCCCACCCTTACACATTTATCTCATGGCTCTTGCCACTTTCTGAAGCTGTTCTGGAGGTCCTTTTTTGTGAGTGCCTTTATGAGGAGTGTTAAAAAATGTGATTGCTGTGATTACCATCCAACAAAAGGGGAGGCTTGTGAAACATTACAGTATGTCTTTATCTGTCTTGTTCACTGGATCTGGTACCTTGTGGCTTCCTCAAAGTAAAAATGACCAAGAAAGTTTAGGGTTTTTAATGAATACAGGACATCAAGGAGCCATGACAGCACAACCAGATACTCACAAAAGAAGACTTCCAGAACTGCTTCAGAAAGTGACAAGAATGAGTGGATAAGTACATTTAGAGCTAGAGGAAGCTCTAAAACACATCAGTGGTATTTTGAGGGGGACCAATGGTAACCTGTCTTGTACTGTAATAATTAAAAAAATTAAACATTCACTGTATTTTTCAACCACACTGTATAGAATAAGGAAGGTAAAACCACAAGAAGGTCGAGGGAAGGCTTTAGCAAATGATCAACACAAAGTAGACCTTTGTTGAGAGACAGAGGAAGAAGACCCATGACACTTACATGTTTTCTCCTGTAGGTGCAGGAAACCAATGAGATGATGTTCCTTTCTGCAATGTCTTTTAGCTCCTTTCCAGGCGGTATGTCTTGTACTATGGGGAGATAACATCAAACAGTCCATGTACTCAAAAACACTTTGGATGAAGTTGGGGAGCCCTCAAGTGTGACTTTTGTCATAACATGATACTTAAAACAAGGCTCTGAGTACTTAGATATAAACACTAACACATCATTTAAACATCTGAGTTTCTAGCTTCTTAATGCTGCTGTTTGTTTTAGGGTGTCAATGGATATTATAAAAGGAAACCTAGATAAAATTTCAAAACCAGCCTCAAGTTCAAGGACACGTCCTGGAAGCAGGAGTTCAAGTGCTTCTTTAGAGGTGCTCTCGCCAGAACCAGCACCCTGCAAGGTAACTTGCTGCTTAGAAATGAATTGACCACCTCCTTCTCGTTTCTGCAATTGATGAAACTAGGGCGGTTATTAGCACTCTTTTTAAGTTTCCTCTTCAGAGAGTGTGCTCAGGGATCATTTACTGGTTTCTTGGATTGTACTCTAGATTGTTTAATATGAAGTGCTCGTTTTAGAAAAAAATTATTTTAAAGAGAAAAAAGTAAAATAAAATTTCAGAATGAGATAACAGAGTAACAATGGTTCATACATTGCACATGGTTATCTTTCAATTACTCAGAGTACAAGACACATGCATTTAATTGTCCAAATGATAGTAGCGCACACCTTTCTTTTCAGTGAACTCAGAGAAATTAGTAGTATAGCTATCTCAACTATCTTGTGTATGTGTGTGTGTGTATTTTTTTCGCTTTTCCCTTCTTTCTTTTCTCCTTTCCCCCATCCCAGTTTCTCTTTCCTTTTGAATGGTTTCTTCCCATTTTACAATATCTATTGTACATTTTTGGTCTTATTTAATCTTTTAGCTTCTCATATTAGGGAGATAATATGATGTTTACACATGTGAATCTGGTTTATTTCACTTTTGAGTATGGTCTTGAGTTGCATCCATTTACCTATAAAAATTTATCCTTTATGGCTGAATAGTACTCCATGGTATAAAAAGACCACATCTTTTTTATCCATTCCTCAGTTGAAGGGCATTTGGGTTGTTTCCAAGATCTAGCTATTACAAATTGTGCTGCTATGAACATGGGTGCATGTATGTTGCTGTGTTTTTAATTATTCTGGGAAGATACCCAGAAGGAGAGTAGGTGGGTCAAATGGGACCTCTACTCCTAGTTTTTTGAAAAATATCCACATTGATTTCCACAGTTGTTGCATCAGTCTACAGTCACACCAACAGTGGAGGGTTCCTTTTTCCCCACACTTCTCCAACATTTGTTATTGGTTGAGTTCTTGATGCTAGCCATTCTTTCTGGGGGTGAGATGAAATCTCAGTGTTGTTTTAATTTACATCTCTTGAATGACCAGTGACGTTGAACATTTTTTCATATATTTATTTGCTGTTTTTATTTATTCATCTGAGAAGTGTGTATTCATCTTAGGTGCCCATTTTTGGATTGGGTCTTTAAATTTTGGAGGTCTTATTTTTTTGAGTTCTTTATATGTTCTTGATAGTAATACTTTGTCTGAGGAACAGCATTTTTCCCCACATTGTGCGTTGTCTCTTTACTCTATTGGTGGTTTCTCTTGCTGTGCAAAAGCTTTTTAATAAGATGAGATCCCAGTTGTTAATTCTTTGTGATAGTTCCTGTGCAGTCAGGGTTTTAATCATAAAATCTTTGCCTACACCAATATCTTGAAGAGTTTTACCTATTCTATCTTCCAGCAGATTTAATATTTCTGTTTTAATACTCTGTGATCCATTTTGAATTTAGTTTAGTGCATGGTGAAAGATACGGGTCCAATTTTAATCTTTGGCATGTGCAGACCAGTTTTTCCAGCACCATTTATTAAAGAGGTTATATTTCTTCCAGTGAATGTGTTTGGCACCTTTGTCAGAGATAAGGTGGCTGGGTGTGTCTAGAGTAGTTTCTACATCTTCTATTCTGTTACATTGTGATCTTCAGGTCTGATTTTTTGCAAGTACTATGCTGTTTTTATCATATTAGCTTTATAGTATAATTTCAAGTCAGGGATCGTGATGTCCCCTGCCTTGCCTTTATTGCCCAGAATTGCCTTTGCTGTTCTAGGTCTCTTCTCATTCCAAATGAATTTTAGGATTATTCTGTCTAATTCAGTGAGATATGCTGTTGAGGTTTTGATCAGAATTGCATTAAACAGTTGTAACAGTGTAACAGTTTTGGAAGTATCACCATTTTCACTACATTGGTTTTTCCTACCCAAGAACAAGGGATATCTTTCCACTTTCTGATATCCTCTTCAATCTACTTTTTCAGAGTACTGTAGTTTTCAACATAGAGGTCTTTTACTTCCTTTGTTAGTTAATTCCTAGGTATTTCATTTTTTTTGGATGCTATTGTGAAAGGTGTTTCCTTAATTTCTCTCTCAGTGACTTTGTCGTTTGTGTCCAGGAATGCTATTGATTTTTTTTTTTTAAAGATAAAAGGAGGGAAACATTAACAGACATACAACATTTTACAACATATCACAAGCACAATACAGACAATACAGAGTTACAAACAAAGTG